TGGGGCAGGCACAAGTCTTCCCTCTCTTGGGAGAAGCCTGGCACCAACACTGGAGCTTTGGAGTTGTTCCCCCAGTGGACACTGTACCGTTCATTTGGAGCCCAGCACAGTGCTTGACACATAGTAAGTTTCCAAGAAATATCTGCTAAGTGAAGGAATAGTTGGTTATAAAAGAGTAGTTGATCTGTTGGGTATTGGTGGTGCCTGTAATCCTAGCTACTCAGGAGGCTGAGATGTGAGAATCATCATTTAAAGCAACCCTGGCAGAAAAGTCTGTGAGACTTATCTCCAGTTAATCAGCAAAAAGCTGGTAGTGAAGGTTTGGCTCAAGTGGTAGAGCACCAGCCTTGAGTGAAAAAGTCATGGGAGATTGCCCAGGTCCTGAGTTTACACCCTGGTATTGCTGTGAGCAAGTGCATGCACGCAAACACACACACACACACACACACACACACACACTCACACTCATACACACACACTCTCTCTCTCACACACACACACACACACAGATCAGTTGATCTATTTCATCCCCAAGTAGAATTGCCAGTGTAGTCCAACTGGGTAATCTTATTTTCAATATTTTCCAAGAAATAATCCCAATGAACTGATTCAGCACAGTCCAGGAATCATGTCCTCAGTGCTACAGAGTTGGTGGAAAGTGCTGATGGCAGTATGCTAGCAGAGTTGGGAGAACAATGAACAGGGGCAAATTAAATCTAGTGGGGGAGGGGGAGCCATTCAATTCTCCCAGGAGGAAGTGATTTTCAAGTTGCTGTGGGGGAGGGCAAAGGCAAGATCCTAATTATACCACCACCAGGGAAATGCACTGAGCAGGGATTGTCCTGGAGCCATCTTGGACCTGCCCACTCCAAGATGGTGGTCCCTCCACCCTGAGAACTGGGCGGGGGGTGTAGGGGAGGTGGGGGAGTAGGGAATGACCACAAGGACCCCAGGTTGGTGAGGACCTCTCAGCCTCCCTGAGCTAGAGCTTTGGGCTCTCTATCACAGAAAAGCATTTCATTCTTGGAGATCAGGCAGCTAGGACCCAAGGAACTGTTTTTTTCCTCCATTGTACAAGCATGACAAATCATTAATTTTTGATTGATTTGCTTAGAATTATGGGCGCCCCAGCATTCTTTCCGCTGCTGAACAGCTGTATAACAAATGAATATATCAGTGTGCACAAAAGATTGGAGATCTAAGAGAAGCAATTACATCGCCCCCCTCCCCCACCCTGGCCCCTTCCAGGGCAATGAAGGGAGGAAATTTTTTCCAGAAATTCCTCAAGTGGCTTTAAGGAAAAAAAAAAAAAAAAGAAAAAAAAGAAAAGCTTTTTATAATTGAATTAAATCTTTATCTCTTTATCCATGGCAGCAGATTTCCAAACACACATCAGTTTCCCACATGCCTAAGGACTCCTCCATCCGGGAGGAATTTTTTTCATAAGAAAATTTCAACTTGTGAATTAAAACCAAAATGAAGAGAAGGAAAAAAAAATAGAGCAAATTCCATCCCTCCCTTTTTTTTTTTTTTTTGGTTGTTGCTATTCCTTTAAGATTTTGGAACTCTACCAATGCACTACATGTGACCTCCATAACTTTTAAATTAAGAATTTATGCTGGCTTGAAATTTATGAAATATTTCAGCATGAAAGAAAGCCTTTTTCCCTCAGGAAAATTGAGCAATAAATCACAGCACTGTGGATTTACTGCCCTAGAGCCAGCGAGAGATAGGATTTTTTTTTTTTTTTGCTTCATTCTGAAAAAAAAAAAAATGTAATCATATAAGACAGCTTAGCTGCTGTCCTCCCACTCTCTAGAATTTTTAATTTCAGCTGTTTCTGCTTGGATTTATTTCCAATATTCCTGCTCGGCTTTTCAATTTCCTCAGTTATTAAATTTTAATTCAGTGCATTAGCATTTAAATTAAAAAAGGGTTTATTTTATCGAAATCGTTGGCCAGCCCCCATCCCGGAGCACACGAATTGCCTGTTTCTGCCATTTGCACAAAATGTGAAATGCAGCTAATGTCTTACAACTTACATTTGCACAAATTTAGAAATAAAATTTCTGGGTTTGGAATAATATTTTCTTTCCAAGAAAACCCTTAATAAGAGAATGGAAAAAGAACAACTTAACATTCATTTGGGGAGGGAAGAAGAGGGTGGAATGAAACTAAAAATAGCCTTGCCCAGGTCTTCTGGGAAACTGGTGACTAAGGAGTGGAAGGGGCTGGAACTGGTGGGGGGTGGGCAGCTGTGGTGAGGGGGCTGGAGGGCTTTGATTCCCTCAGCCAGATGACAGTGAGGAGAGTCTCCCATGGGCCCATTATTGGCCATAGAGGAGTCTGCTGAAGGGTGGGAAAGCTCAACACCAGGGCAGTGATGGAAAGAAGGAGGGGAGACCTACTTTAGCCCTGTGCCCACCCTGTTTTTACCTGCAGAGAGCCTTTGGTTAGGAAAGGAACTTTTCTGAGGCTCAGACTAAGACCCCCCCACACACAGCCAGGGAAAGAACACATTGAGTAGCCCCTTGTCCCTTGGTGGAAGATGACATGTGACAGTAGCCACAGTGATGGTCACTGCTCACTCTGCTGTATTCTGGGCCACCCGTTGGAGAAGCTTGAGGCAGTGGTGGTCTGGTGGACCCTTGAGAGATGCCATGGGATTCTGGGTATTCCAAGTTGACTCTGTACCTTGTCATCTGCTACCTATGCCCTTCTGTGTTTCTGTGCCTCAGTTTCCTGGGCCCAAGAAGCAGTGGTCCCTGTAACTGGGTCTGATACTGTCAGTGGTGTTTACAGTTGTTGACACTGAGCCCACACTAAGTAGTTTTACATGTGTCACCTTTTATGTCCTCTCTAAGTCTTATGTGTGCCAGTCCTAAAAGCCATGAGTGTCGTGTGTTCTTTTGTTGGCACTTGGTGTGTGGGGTGTCTCCCACTGCCCCATTACCCATCCATCTTTGATCCACTCTCCATTATCCATCCACTGCCCCATTACCCATCCATCTTTGATACACTCTTCATTATCCCTCCATCCATGCTCTATTCACCCTCTATCCACGCTTCATCCATTCCCAACCCACCTTCCATTCACCCTCTTTCATCCATCCACCTCCATCCACCCTCTATCCATCCTCTTTCCACCCTCCATTCACTCTCCTTCCATCTTCCATCTATCCTCCATTCCTCTTCCATCCCCCATCCACCCTCCATCCACCTCCATCCATCCCCCCATCCACCCTCCATCCACCTTCATCCATCCCCCCCATCCACCTTCATCCACCTCCATGTGTTCCCCATCCACCTCCATCCATTCCCCATCCACTCTCCATCCACCTTCCATCCATCCTCTTTCTACCCTCCATCCATCCACCCTCCATCCACCCTCCATCCATCCTCTTTCCACCCTCCATTCACTCTCCTTCCATCTATCCTCCATTCCTCTTCCATCCTCCTTCCATCCCCCATCTATCCTCTCTCCACTCTCCATCCATCCTCCCTCCATCCTCAATCCTCCCTCAGTTCTCCATACATTCTCTCTCTATCCATCTAATCAGCTTACTTGGATCTCTTGAGGGTTGAAGTATTCCATACCTGAAGAAGATGTCCTTTGGCAAAACCCAGATCTGGGCCTGTAGCTGTGGGACTTGGGATAAATAACTTAATCTTTGAGCCTCTGGATTTCCCTGTAAGGTGTGTGGGGTGGGGACCTATGAGAAAGGTGAGTGAGACAAGGCAGTGATGTCCTTAGTCCAGCACCTGGTGGGAAGTTGTGTGAGGGGCGTGAGTGTGGACACTCGCTTGGGTGGAGAAGAGATGAGGGAGCGGTAGGGACTGTGGAGAACCAGGTATAACAGCCCTCACTGCTGGCCACTGTGGACAGCCTGGGTGATCTGGTTTTTGAAGAAAAGTTGGAAGTCTGATCTTTGAGGGATGAAATCTCTTTATTTTTCTATATTCTGCTCTGTATTCTGGTTTTGCCAGTTTGCAATTTCTGGTAGACATACCCCTTTTTCCCAAAAGGTAGACTACCTTTTGGGAAAGGTAGCTAGCTGCTGTTTGGACTTCAGATCCTCAGTCCTTCACCTGAAACCTTGAAAGCTGACAATCTTGGAAGCAAAAGCAGAACTTGTCCCGAAAGGAGGCAAGGCCTCTGCGTGACACATCCAGCATTTAACCTGCATGGGTTGGCCCACATGTATGCTTCACCCCAGAGATAACAGGGTGCCTGAGGACTTGAAGGTTCCGTAGACCCTGCAGTGATATTTCTAAATGTGAGACATGCACTGAGTGGCCTTTGTAAACTCGGGAAAATTCTGAATTTGTAAACCCAGGTGCCAGAGTTTCAGACCCACGTTGCGCTGTGATTCCAGTGGTCTCACCGGCTGATTTGAACCAGCTGGGGTTCTCAGCCACAGTGGAGGGTTTTGGTGTTGTTCCCTGGTCAGCAACCTCCATTGGCCTCTACTTCCAAATCCTCATGACCTTGGCTATCTGTCCTTTGTCCTCCTGCATTCAGGCTGCTCCCAGGGCCTTGGTCTCTCCATCAGAAACAGAATTTTATGATTTCTGAAATTTTCATTTGGTCAGTCTTATCATCCCCCTCCCACCTCAAATAAAAGAGATTAAGAATTGGCCCTCTCTTCCCTTCCAGCTCTTAGGGTTGGGGGGGGGGGGTAGTAGGGTGGAGACAGAACATTTTAACATAATAGGATTTTCCCCCTCCGGTTGGTAGGAATAAATCTGCAGCTACTGTTTTATTGGAAATCCCAGCTGAAAATAAAAGGGGTTCGATTCAATCTCAGTTATTTACTTCTTACCACACCCCCGGGGTGTGTGGTTGCTGGGTTTACCTTGGCAGTGGGTGCCTAGTTGGATTTAAAGGGCCAAGCAAATGGGATGGGACTGGGCTTGATGCCCTCTTGCCTCCCAGGGTGGAAGTGGATAGAATGTGTCTTCAGCCCTGGCTGATGGAGGTGTCTGGGTCTCTTTTGCAGGCTGACGGAGCCAGTACAGCTGGAAGGAAAAGCACTGCAAACAGGTACGTCCCTTCCCAGGCCCTGCAAAACAGCTGCCATTCCCTAGTCCTCTCACCCTAAAGGAACATGGGCTGGGCCAGCACTCTGCTGAAAGGGGCCATACAACCCTGGAGATACGAGGGCATGGGTGGCACTTTCCATGTGCCCTCTCTGGACACAAGGTATCTGAAGAAGATTCACTTCTAATCTGGCCTGTGGCCCCTCAAGTTGGGGTGACTTTGAGGATGAAGCACAAGGCTGCTATATGAACTCCACAGGGGAGCCATTCTTGTCCTGGTGTGCAATAATTCCTCCTCCTCCTCCTCCTCCTCCTCCTCTTCCTCTTCTTCCTCCTCCTCATTTTCCTCCTCTTCCTCCTCCTCCTCTTCCTCTTCCTCTTCTTCTTCATCTTTCTTTTCTTTCTTTCTTTTTTTTTTGGTGCCAGGACTAGTGCTTGAACTCCAGGCCTGGGCACTGTCTTTGAACTTTTCCACTCAAGGCTGGCACTCTACCGCTTGAGCCACAGCTCCATACTTGGCCTTTTGTAGGTTAATTGAATATAACACACAGACTTTCCTGTCCAGGCTGGCTTCAAGCTGCAATCTTTAGATCTCAGCCTCCTGAGGATTATAAGTGTGAGCCACTGGCCCCCTGCAGGGTTAAGGAGGATGCGTTAGCATCCTCAGTTGCTCTGTCTGAACCAGTCACACCATAGCAAGGCAGGAGACATTCCACTGAGTCAGACCTGGGTCTATCCTCAACCTTGAAGCTGGCGGGAGATAGAAGGGAGTGGACCCCAGTGGCCTGCTGGGATGGTATTACTCCCAAAGAATGAAAAAAGTCACCAGGTAGGCCCAAGCTGTGGGTATCCCTATGGGTGACACAAGTGGGCACATGGTAACCTTAGTACTCATTTTGCTGCTGTCCCCTTGGGTAGGACAGAGCTGAAGCAATCATGTGACTTCTGTTTGGGGCATTGAGGCAGGAAGAAGGCAAGGATGAGAGGCACATACATGAGACCTGGAACATTCTCTGGATCAGTTGCTGGACTCAGACTCAGGCTGTGTGAATAATACACTTAAGTTTGCCCTTTTACCCCAAACACTAGTTTTCTAAGATGCTCATAGATTTCTTTGGGGTACTATGACAATAATAGCCAAATAAATATAGAGGACAGTGGGAGAAACAAAGTCAAACTGGTTTCTTTGCTGCTGTGAGACTTTTCAGAGCCTTTAATATGCTAATGTACATGCTCAGAGTACATAAATGTCCTGTTTCTCAAACATAATTAGCCACGGGCCCTTTTATTGTGATTCATCCCATCTAGTAAGTGTTCCTTGCAGTACCCTTTGGGAACCCTTGGCAGGTCGAATTTCTTTGGCTTTGTGTTTGAGAAATTCACCAAGGGAGCTTTTTGTAGGGTGGATTGGAGGCTGTGACCCCAGGTGGGCAGCCCTTGTGACCCGTCTGACCTCCTTGTAGGGCCTGGCAAATATTTTATGCTGGTCTCAGTGGCAATTTTTTTTCACTTTGCCAGTGACAGGAAATTTTCTCTAAGTGACAGGAAATATGTATGTAAATGGCTATAGTCTGCTGACCCCAACCTAAACTGCCTCCTACTTAACAGTCTTTGCCTTCACTGTCCTTTTCTCTGTCTTCCCACATCCCAGCCTGCCTGTGCTCCTTAGTTATTCCAGTGACCCATGAACCTGGTTTGTTGTCTCTTAGAGCACCAGCGCCACAGGGCAAGAGCCATGTTTGTCTTGTACACTGCTATGGCCTGGGCCTTGTAAGCACTCAAGAATACTGATAGGCTGAGGGAGAGGAGGGAAGGGTAGGGGCAGGGAATAAGGGCTGGAATGGAGAGAGAGAGAGTTCAGATTGGGAGGAGGCAGCCAGCTGGGGCCTTTGTTCCAAGTGGTGATGCTCATAGCACCTGCCCAGCGTGTTGTGCTTCTTGGACCCCTGGTAGTAGATGTGTGTGCTGCTGTGGCTCCCAGGGCAGTGGCCTCCTTCGACTGCTTAGCGGGTGGTACCTGGAAATGCCTGCTCGATGAGAATGTCAGAGTTAGAAGAGGCCCAGTAGATAGTCTGAGCCTCCTCTTACTGTTATGTTAGGAGCTTGAGGCCTTCAGGAGGAAAGGCCCTATGCAGGGTCATCAGAAGAGTGAGAGGCTACATTAGGCCACCTGCTAGGGCTGATGACTTCTCTACTCAGAGAGGCTATGCTCTAGGGAGGACCTGACCAGCCACTCCTTCCCTGCCTCTTTGTGTTTATCATGAGCTTGCTGTGATAGACCCAGTGCTGTGGCCTCAGAAGGATTCAGTGCTAATTTATCCATCAGCAGACATGAGAGTACCTTCTGGATCCACAGCAGTAAACCAAGAAACAAAGTTCCACTCACCCACCCCCATCACCTTAGCTGGGCAGAGGTCCTGGTCCTCACTCTAATATATTAACCCTTACCACCTAGCACTCTGCCTAGTCCTTGTAGCCAGATGATACAGATTGGTTTCCCACAAGGCCAGTGGCCACCTGAGGCTGTGAATTGATCACTACCATCCAAGGCTGCTGTCAGAAGTGGGGGAGAGAGAAGGATTGGCAATTGATTATTGATGCCTTCTTGGGAAGGGTAAGGTGGCATATATACCATTGCTTCCCTCTCTCTGACTACCCTGGGTTCTTTACCACATACACTCAGTGATTGAGACCCATAAAATACCAGGAAGGGTCAGCCCGCACCTTTGGGATGCGTGTGACTTGAGGTGTAAGGATGAAATTCCTATTATTAATGATTCTGATGTCCTTGGTATATCAGTGTGTCATACTTAGTATGTCAGGCTCTGAACTGAGTGATTTACACAGATTTGTTAATTTATTTTTAACTTTTTATTGTTATTATAAAGGTGATATACAGAGGGATTACAGTTACATAAGTCAGGTAAAGTGTACATTTCTTTTTGGACAATATTACCCCTTCCCTCGCTCTCTCCCAGTTTTTCCCTACTATCCCTACCCACAGTTGTAGAATTCATTTTCAACACAGTGCCCAGTGAGTACAGATTTATTTTGTTAGTTGTGTGTAGTCTTTCAAACAGCCTTGGGAGGAAGATGCTCATCTTAGCCTTGCCTTGTGAATGAGGATGCAGAGGGAAGAAGTTGATAAGCCTACAGTTGCCTGGTTGGAAGGAAGCAGGAAAGCAGGCTGTCAACCCAAGTCTTTCTCCTGCAATGCCTTCCTGTCTCTCAGGGTGAAATGCTCTGTGAATCTGAGTCCAGAGGCCTGTTAGGGGCTCAGGATGGGGCCAGAATCTGGGCCTATCAAGGAAGGTAGAGCCCCTGAAGGAGCTCCTGGTAGAGTTCATCTTGAATCTGTGATTAGAACCAATAGCATCCTTTGAAAGATCACAGAATACATCACAGGATAGTGGCTCCGTGTTCTGAGGGGTGGATGACATGTTAGAGCATCAAGAGAACTTTAGCTGTGGCCTTTGAACCCTGACTGAGCCAGTTTCTACCTGGTGGTACTATATGTAGTGCATCAGAGCTCACTGTCTGTTTCCCATGGAGAAATGAAGGCCTTAAGGTCCAGCCACGTCCGAATGAAGCTAGAGGAGTGGGAGCAGAGCTGGCCTTGAAGGACCCCTGCCCTCCCAGCTGTGGCACAGTGTGGTGTTACTGCACCAGGCTCTCTTTCATCCTCGCTTTTCCCTTTTTGGCCTGGAACACACAGTTTTGTTATTTCTCCAGAGGGCCTCTGGCTAAACCCCAAAACCAACAGCATAGGCTGCTCAGGAATTAGTGTTAAATTGAGGGGGACAAGGAGAGGTGGTGTTCTTGATCTTAAGAAACAACGAAATATGGTTTGCTTTACTTCCCTGTAACCCAACCTGGGTTGATTTTATAAGACCAGTGATCCGGCGCTCCAGGTTAATGCTGACCTGGTGTATGGGTTACAAATTATGTAGCCACTGGCAGCCAAACCTCACATATTCCAAGGGGTGGCAGGCCTTCCCTATGAAAAATCTGAAAGAAATGCAATTTTTGTCATGAAGTAAACTCAGTTACTGGCTTGCCATAATGAAGAATTATGCCCCTTTTTTTGGCCATGTGAATGTTTGCAGAGTGCAAGACTCAGAGTAATGTAATCTCCAACCTGGAGATTAGGAGACATGCTCTCAGATGCCTAACAAGGGCTCTGTAGACAGGAGAGCAGGGCAAAGGATGGCAAAACCAAAGCCCATTCATTCATTCCCAAAGTGTTTATTGAGTGCCTACTAAGTGCTGGGCCTGCCTTGGGTACTGGGGAGATAGCAGTGAACAAGAAGAGCTAGTGTTCAGGTGTGAGTGGAACAGATGGGCCAAGTGCATGAAATGTATGCTTGTCAGCTCTTACAAGTGCTGTGAATGAAAGAGCCAACAGGGAAATGGGCAGACCAGGAAGGGTGCTGCCTTTTTAAATGCATGGTCATTCCAAAAGGAAAAGCATCACTGATCACTGAACAAGATTTGTACCAAGTCCAGGATCTTCTGGGGGAAGTGTACTCTAGGCAAAGAAAACAACAGGCACAAAGGTCCGGGGGGTTGGGCATGTCTGTTGCACTGGAGCAACAGCAGGGAGGTCAGTGTGGCTGCTTAGACCCTAGGAGATGTTTGAGCACAGAGATGGCATGATATTTGGTTTTAAGTGGAGCATGCTGGGTACCAGGAGGGGACAAGACTTTAGAAAGAATGTCTCTGAGGGTTCAGGCCAGACAGGGTCTTAGGTTTAGAGGTTTAGAGGTGCGCTTAGAGGTGAGGGCTAGCTGTTCATTTTCAGATCTGTGAAGCCTACATCCAGAGACATGCAGCCTCCTGCACCATCCTGGGGTGGCCCCAGCTGCAACAGCCAGATCCCCACAACCCCACTCCTCCTGTCCCTTGCACTCCTGCTTGGGCATTTTCTTCTCAGGTCCTCTGCCCATACTGAGGGCCACAGAACATCCCATAGGGCCAAAGAGCCCTCAATGCCTAGGTCCCTAT